ATTAAATACTGAACAAATTCCTCAGCTCTACCTTTCAAGAGGGAGCGGGTTATTCTAAACAAGGCGGCTGGGTGCGATTCAGTGGATGCAATAAGGGCAGCAAAATGTGCACGTTTCGCCACCCGTATTGCCACGAGATAGGCTCTGATAAAGGCTCTCATCAGTGCTCGGTCTGACTCAGATTTACTGGCCCTCCAGCGGCGCTCTAGGCGTCTCTTTTGGCGTTTCATCTCCCGGAGTTCCTCGGTGAACCAAGGGGCCCTCCTGGATCCGCTGCCTCGGAGAGGTCACAAAGGCGCAATCCGGTTTGATGCAAGAGGTTAAGACAGTCTAGGTCTGGATCAGGGAAACCCAGATTCTTGCCCACACTTAATCATGAAAACATAGTTTGGATAGTTTAGACTTTGGATTCAGGCTTTATGGTCTGATTGTTTTTGTGGAAATAAAATAAAGAAAGATCCCCATGTAAGGCTTTTTGAGTGCCTAGAAATAAAGTAGAATATAAATAAAATCATACAAATGCTGACAGTAATACCGTGTTTTTTTTAAAGGGCAGCAACAAGGCTAGGAATATTCCTTTATTCATTTTTATCACTGGAATTTTGGATAGCTCAAAATTGCTCAAACAGATTGAGCTGGTCTTTTGTTTGTTCCAACCGTTCTTGAAAAGTCAATTAATTAGAACATTGAAAAGTACTTGTTGGGGCATTTTCCTTGAAGGTAACCAGGAAGCTATAATAAGGCAGATTGAGATGACTAAAGTTTTGAGCTGTTATGTTACTCATTAAAATAGCCCAACTTTTTCTAGGTGTTCACATGAGCCTGAAAAAAGGCTGCTGGTGCTGGCACTGCTTTAAGAATTACCTTGGGTTTAATAAACCAAGTTGTTTTCACAAAGAGCAGAAAGATGCTATGTGTTCCAAGCACGTCTTCCAAATTATTTTTAAAGTGCATACAATACTATAAATATTAGTCTGAAACAGTGTATAGATATATTATAAGTTTATAAGGACTTCTGGAGTATCCCAAAATGTTTTTATTCCAATCTTCGTTGTCCAGGGCATCCTTCAGAGATGGGAGTTTATAATCCCAGAATTCCTAGTCCGCATGTGGATTCTGGAAGCTTTAGTCCACATATCTGGAGATGGGGAGGTGAAAAGTAGTTGAGGAAGGCTATTCTAATCCCAACCTCACAGAGAAAACGAAGAGAGAATACACTAATGAAAAGCAACATGGAATGGAGGGAAGCGGTAACTTCATTATTCCACCTGTTGAAAACAATATGTTATATGGAACTACAAGAATTTTTTGATTACAGAGTCCTGTTTTTCATTGTCAGACACTGGTGTTTAGGTCCACAGAAATATTTTAATTTGGAAATTTAATCTGAAGGCAATTCAAATCAACTTTCTAAATTGAGTCAGAAGTCAAATGAAATCAGATGTGTCTGAATCACTTTTGAATATTTTGGTTCTTTCTACACATATACTAAGCTGATTGATTGAACCAATAATTCAAATGGGATTTTATATTATTTGAACATCCTTACTTATGTTCGAACCCCACATTAAATCTGACTATTCCGTCTTTTTGGATCCTATACCATAAAATGGTTCTATGGGGTTAACCATGTTTACTTTCCATTATTGTTCATTTAGTTTTGTACTGATTGATCTTACTCAGAAATCTATATACATGGATTACTCTAAATAAATATCCTGCTGATTTGAAAGAGTTATGGTCTTGAGATAAAAGTTTGTTTCAAAAAGAATTTTCTATTAATCGGAACATGAAAAGATAAATATCCTAATACAATCAATAAATTCTTTCTGCAGCTGGGTCTTGGTATTTAGCTCCTAGGAAATATTAGTTGTTTGAAGCTAGATTAAGAAATATATGCAGGATGGGAGAATCTAGATTTTGCCTACAGCTCAGTCCCAGATTTAAATATTATGTCTACACAATAGCACTGAATACAAAATGAATTCTTTTCTGAGTAGGAAATGTGGCTTAGGAACAACGGTCCCAATCAAAGATGACCACCCTCCAAAAAAAGGGGATTTTTGTTATCTTTTCTCAAAATGCATAAAGAACCCAATTTTTCAGGCTTTTTCTTGAAGTCTTAAATGACTTATTCAAATAGGCTAAATAATCATCTGTTGTTTGGCATGCATTGCAAAAATGTAGCAATATGAGCATCAGTCTCAAAAATCAGCTCAGCTCTAATGGTTTCAAATTGAGTTGAGCTCTTCAAGGTATAGGCCTTGATCCCATGAGGTGTGCTATTAAGCCACTTTACTACATAACTTGATCTGTGCTCTGTGTATCACAAAACATAGGAACAAAGAAAGAATTGACTGGCAATAATATCACAAGAGAACCGAAAAGCCTATAATAAAACAAGGCTATTGCTACTTGGTGATAGTAGCTGTTGCCAATATAGGCATGCCAACAATGGAGTATTGCTGTGTAAGGACATCTTGGTTCTTGCTAGCAGGGTGATGCCACAGATCAAACTGGGCTGGCTTGGCAGCCACTGCTTGCCATACTTATGCTCACTTGTCAGGACAGAAATTCAGAGAACTGCATCAAATCACCCTCAACAGATTGCCTTCCTTTCAAACTGAGGTCTAATTCATGCTGTATTTCAAGAAAGAAGGGACTTTTACAATAGCATCTTAAACATGTTTTTAAACATGAGGAAGATTTTGTATCATCCACACCGAAACCCTTTTTCTTGGCATAGATCTGACTGCGACTCAGTCTTTCAGATCAACTGAATTATCCATTCTAAGGGTGAAAAAGAAAACCTTTTTAGACATTTAAAAATTAAATCAGAACGTTAAATCTGAGTAAGTCAACAACCATGGAGGTGGATCAAGCCTTTAAGTAAAAGCATAGTTCTGAGAAAAAAGACAGATCTTTTATCTTTTTACTGGATAAAAAGAAGATCATGAATTCATCTGCATTGCATTTCAGAAATTCTGAACAAATGGCTGCATTATAATGGACTCTGGGAAGGAATCTCTGCAAAGATTGTAGTAGTGAACCCGAAATATAAAATGTTTGCATCCTAATTACTTATCTTTAGCAGTTATATAAAAGATTTGCATGGGTGCTGTTAAAACAAGCAAAAGGGAAATGAGCAGATAAATAACATTTAAGAAGCTGACCAGCTCAAATAAATGAACTGTTATGGAAAAACTGAATCATACTGACTCTGATTGCGATTGACAAGAAAAGCCACAGCCAATTTGCAAAAACATCAGGGGATTATCAGGCAAGCCATGCCCAATCATATAAAAGTAGCCATCTACAAATTTCATATCAGCCCGTTAAAGAAGCGCTACTTGTGACGATGCCCCACCAAGTGCAAATACTGGAAAATAAGCTCAGTGGAATGTTCATAGTTGAAATTGATCATTCTGAAAGTGACGTATTTTCTTACCTCTCTGAATAGAAACAATATTGTGATTGCAAGGAATGATCCGAGACGCGTCCCGTAGCACTGGATCATGGCAAAGAGAAGGACAAATGTTCAGCTTAATCCAAGAAAAGATAAACTTCAAAAAGTGATCCCTTCAGCCTGCTTT